ATTAAGAAATGAAATTCAAATTTTTTAACATAAAGTTTTACGTAAAAGGTCTAATTTATTTTTATTAAAAATATTTAAATAAATTAATAAAAATAACTACATTTTTAATATATAATTTGTATTATAAAATATTTTTAAAAAAATTAAAAATTAAAAATCAACCCATTCATCGTCGCATGGGTACAGTTCCTCGGCATAAACTTATTTTGAGTTCTTTTACCTTAATAAAATTATAAGTTTTAGTCTCTTACTTTATACTATAATATTTTTAGTCCTTTATTTATAAAAATCAAAAAAAAAATAACCTTTATTTAACTAACTGTTAAATGATTGCTTATGGAGGATAACGTCGAACGTTCAATTTTCACTAATTTATCCAACTCAAAAAGGTTGTAGGTGATTTACCCTTTTTTTTTGTTAAATTTTTAATTTGGTCCCTAAACTATTATATGGACCCCTCATTTGATCTCTAAACTTAAAAAATCCTTAATTTGGTCCCTAAATTATTGTATGGATCCCCAATTTGGTCCTTACTGTTTACCAATTTGCCGAAAGTTGATCTTTCTATACAAAAATAGCTGAAGTGTCTCGTTATTAACGTGACACATAACCATTAAGTTACTATTTTCTGCCGTTAAATTACTACTTTTTACCGTTAAATATTAGACACGTCAATTTTTTTTGTATAGAAGAATTAATTTGGGGTAAATTGGTAAGCGGTAAGAACCAAATCAGGAGTCTGTATAATAGTTTAGGGACCAAATTAAGAATTTAACTTTTTTTTTTGTCCTACTGCATAATTTGGAGGATGGATTTGGACATTATGCTTTTGCCAAAATCAAAGATGTGGGATAATTTTAAGTGCAATAGCGCCTATATAATGTTTTATTTTAAAATTAATTTTTAATATTTTAAGTCTATTCATGAATCAGTACATATTCATGCAATTAATAATATTAAAAAATACTATTAATAATGAAGAATAATACTATTACAAGGTAGAAGAGTTGGTAAATATTGATCTTGACAATAGATAATATTTCTTAGCGTGGTTGTAGCTTCTAATTTTTTAGTTTAGCTTTTACTTTAAATTTTACCACTTACAAAAAAAAAAAAAAAGGAATTAATCAAGCATAATCATCATTCAATAGGATACATTCACCTTTAGTCTCTATTTTGAAAATTTGTTCCCAACTTTTTAAAAAAAATTAATGATAAATGGGTTGAAAATTTTGGGTCTAAAATTTAGAATCAATGATATATATAAATTATATTATTTTAAATATTAAAACGTGAACCATATATTTATTTAATGATTAATTTTTTAATTTTTTGTACTTATAATAATATATGCATAAATTCATTTAATAACATAACTTATATTACATTAATAGACCAAAATTTTTATCTTCTATATCACTTCTCTTCTGAAAAAGAATGCTTAAAACATTAGTTTGGAATAATATAACCATTAATATACACAGGATCCATTAAATTAAAAAGTTTTTTAATAAAAATTTATATAATATTTTTTTAAAAGTTTAATATTCTGCTTTTGTTAAGTCAATTCTTGTAGTCATATTTTCATAATAACTAGAAAATAAATCTGGGAGGAAGAAATTTTTAAAGATTATTTCTAAAGTGATCTCCAATGAAAAAAGAAACTAAAAAATGACTAAAATGATGATATGAAACAAAGTAATTAAGGATAATATTAATAAAAATAAAACTTAAAGAACCAAATTAAAATCTCACAATAGCTAGGGTGCGTTTGCCATAACATGGCGGAAGCTAAAGCTAGTGGTACAAGATATTGATTTGGAATGATTATCAAGTTATTACAACATTCTAACTGTTAATAAATCAGAAAAGTGTTTTCACATTTTCACTTGCAAAAAAAAAGGGTATATAAATATCTATGAAATTATGTTGTCGATATACATGTACCATTTTTTTTTCTCTTCAAATTGACTTGAAAATTTGTTTTCTCTTTCTAAATTAATAATAATATTAGAGTATTATTTTTGAAACCAACTTAATCCTCCTCCCGAAAATTTCGTTAAAAAAGGAATATCAATATAAATATTGTTAATGTAGCTTGCAAATTCAAAGAATGAGACAACCAATTAATGATATAAAAAGACAAAAAAAGGTGCACCTTGCTTTTATGTCTTGTGCTTTCTCCAAATGACGAAAGGAAATGCTGGGCTTGGCCAAGGCTTCTTCAGACTGCACGCTTCAGTATACCCTCTCTTCTTCCAAGACTTTCATTACATGAAAGATAATAGAAACCAAAACGTGACAAATTAGTTAAAAAGTAGAAGATTGATCTAATCCATTGGAGGAGAGGGAAAGTATTAGTCCAATGAAAATTGAAATCAATATATATATATATATTAATGTTTATCAATCGAATTTACAAAAAATTAGGTGAAAAAATATTTCAAAATTATATCATTTTAATCATTTATAATAAAAAAAAGATTAAAACATTCTTATTCCTACTTTAACAATAATTAGGATATTTTAGTTTTTTTTTAATAGTTCCTTATTAAAATGGAATAGTTTTGAAATATTTTTCTACTTAAGTTTTATAATACAAACTAATATAATACAAACTAATACTCACTTTTCTTATATATATATATATATATTAGAGATCCACTTACACGCAAATCTTGTACACTAAATTTGCACAAAATCTCAATTATTCATTTTTTTACTTTTAATGGTTGAGATTTATTAATTAAACAAAAAATATATCAAAAACCTTTAAAAGTGGAAAGATGAATTATTGAGATTTTATGTAAGTTTGAAGTATAAGATTTGTATATAAGTGAATTTCTACTTTATATATATATATATATGACACCGATACAACCTTCTAATTCAGCATACACTACAAGAAAAATGATTTTTAGTGACAGAAATTTGTGATGAATTTTGAAATTATCACTATAACTTATCACAATTGTGACAGATTTAAAAAATTAGTCACAGATGCATACATATTTAATGATGAACAAAAAAATTCATTATAAAAAATATATTCCGTCCCCGAAAAATATTTATAGAGATAAAATAAGCTTTTGTCGATAAAAATCATCACCATAATGCATTACAATTATGACAAAATTCTAATATTAATCACATATACCTTACACATTCAATGATGATCAAATAATTTATCACTAAAAAATATATTTCGTCACTAAAAA